ACACACACGCACACAAACACACACCATAGTCATCACCTTCCCGCTCCTCAGGTTTCTCCTCTGCTCAGTGGGACAGGAAGCCGGACTTACAGTCTTAGAAACTGATGGAGATTTTGACGCACTCTTGCCAGGGTAATTGTTTAAAAGAGAGAGAGAGAGAGAGAGCCCGAGCTAGCGTACATCCTTTAGTCTTGCACCAGCCATCCCAGGGGAACGGCCAGAGTTTCCTTCCAGGGGAACGGCCAGAGTTTTCCTATTCCTGGCGAAGAAGGGAAGGCGCCTAAACTCCGCTTCATTCAAGAGGGAGAAAATAAACACCGTTCCTTGGGTTGGGCAGGTAGGGGAAAAGAACAGGGCGCGCTTGTAAGCACGGACACCAGCTTACACGCGAAACAGCGATTTCCTGAGTCAACACTTCTTGGAGAAGTGCCCACTTTCCCAAAGTTCTTCTATCTTTCATCAACCTCCCTCATTTTATTTATTTATTTATTTGTTTTTTGGTCCTGGCGGGAGCCCGAAGGTACTTTCTTATATGACTAGTGCAGATAGCAAATCCAAACATCCTGGATGGAGCAGGTGTCCGAGCGCCAGACACGACTCCGCAGCTGCTAGACAATGACTAAGAGCCCTTTAAAAGAGTGATGGATTGGGCCCTTGTAGCTCTCCACGAGAGGTTTTTTTCCACCTCCTCGGCGGATATCGTTCTTTTCGCCCCCAATGCCAGGGGCTTATAGCGAAGCAGCTGGAGAGCTGCCGGGTAGAACGTGACCACTTCAACCCAGGAACAAAAGGGAGTGGGGGGGGGGGCAGATTGGGAGGGGGGGCAGATTGGGAGGGGCCGGCCGGAGGGCAGGGGAAAACCTGCCCGGGACTCCTGTAGCAGAGCCTCCAAGAGCGAGAGAGAGGAAGAGCGAGCGAATGCTGCTGTCCATCCCAGCTCAGCCCCTTGCCAATGCAATTCCCCATTAAGACAATCGGTTCAGCCGTGGCGCTTGGCACCGAGAAGTGAATTACACTCAATCCCAGACATGCAGCCGTGACTGTCCAGCCTCTCCCAGTTCCAGAGCTTTAGACAGGTGGGACGGGGAAAGCCCCCAATCAATCTCCTGCGGAACCTCCTTTAGGCCACTTTCCCAGCTAGGAAGAAGGTAGCTTCTCTCTCCGTTTTGCCCTCCGTCATCAAACGGCGGGCTGAGGCTATCTCGTTGGATCGATTGCGATCGATTGCGAATGGGTCTTCTTTCTCTCTCTCTCCACCCCCACATCTCCCCTCTCCTCTTTCTCTCTCTCTCCACCCCCACATCTCCCCTCTCCTCCTCCAGAGAAGCCTTTCCAAAAATTAGAACATGCTGAATAGCTTCCCTTCCAAAGCAAGGGTGGGTCCCAAAATCAGCCTTGCTAGAAAGGAATCGGGATCCTGGCTTTGGGGCACTTGGTGAAGACTTAGCAAGACACATCGGGGCTTTTCTTGAAAGGGGTTACAGTAGACTTCCCCCAACCCGGCACGTTTCAGATACTTTCATTATTTTTGCATTAGGTGACTTACCAAAATCAAAATCCAATCAATCGTTGAAGCAATTAATACTCATATTAATACTACTTTGGATTCTCTGCGTAATTCCCTTGGCCATAAGGATTGGAAACTTTTTTTGGGGGGGGGCGGGGGCGGGCTGGGGGCAACTAAGTCCGCTATATCTTGAGGGCACCTAGTTGGGGAGATGGCTTTTGCTTTTCACCTCCTTGTCCCGTCCCCACTCCCCAGGTTGCCGTTTGGTTGTCGCCGGGTCTCAAAGAAATAAATACTGACAGGAAAGAAGCCGTTCATTCATTTGTCCCATGTTGCCTTCCCGGCGTGTCCCGGTCTCTCGATCTGACGGGTGCTGTGGGGTGGGGGGTGGGTGGTGGGTGGGGGGGAGGGATGCCCTTGGAGGCTGAAAGCGCTTGGATGTTAGTACATTTGAACCCAGGTCCTCCGAAGGGCTTGACTGAACGGGATTACGAAAATCAGCGACTTCCGATTTTCCACGTTTGGTGCTTGGATGCATTTGCACAGAAGGTCAGCTGAAGAGGCTAACTAAGAAGGCGCTGCTTTCTCTGCGGCAAGGGGTTAAACGAGGAGCGGGCAATTCCACTGAGCTGAAATTAAGCCGTTCCCACCTATCCGCGCACGCTTTGCAAGGGACTGACCATCTCTAGGTCCAGGAGCGGAAGTTCTCAGGCGACCCAGCCTTTTGCACTGCCTCCAAAATCCAGTCGTTAGCAAATGAAATATGTCCAGGCAGCCCGAGACTACGTCTCCTTAACTCGAACAGTCCTCGCTGAAACCTTTCATGTTTCCAAGGAGTTGCTGACTGGCTAGTTTGCCTTAAAAGAAAAGAAAGGATGGTTAGATTCCGGAATTGGAGAAGGGACCACCTGCCAGGCAGAACCGACTCCTTCAGCAACTCTCCTCGCAAACCACCTTTTCCCAGCCCAGGGCTTTCACATGGAGCAGCGGTGCCCAAACTTGGCGACTTGAAGAGTTGTGGACTTCAACTCCCAGAATTCTCCAGCCAGCAATTCTGGGAGTTGAAGTCCGCAAGTCTTAAAGTTGCCAAGTTTGGAGACCTCTGACATATAGCTTCCCATCCTCGTTCAATTTGGCTGGAATTGTTGGGAGTTTGTGATCGCATCGGAAGGAGATCTGATTGGTCAGGCTCTTCCAAACAGCCATTCCCTGCTTTCCTCCACCCCACGATGGCAGGAACCTTAAGCATCCTTACCTGGGCATTGAATTCCGTTAGTTCCAATGCCGACTCATTTTGAGAAGGTTTAGGCTACACAAGCATAGTAAAGGAACCTATCAAGGCATGTGAATTTAATATACGGCCCCTCCCCCGACTCTGTGGGAGAGAAGACGGTGCATCTCCCTGACTCCAAAACCAATAATTTAAGGTTCAAAAAGGAATTGTCGACTAATCGCCACCTCGTACTGCTGGGGTCAATGCTAAGATGCAAAGTTGAGAAAGCCTCTATGCCGACCGAAGTCCTTTTTTTTTTTTCCTGCAATGCAACACTTTTTGCAGTAGATGTCGCCTCTAATAAGTAAATATCCTGCCCTTTTGAGTTTATTCATCAAAAAGATTCGGGAGATCTTGGCGGGGGTAAAAGACAATGGGGGAGGTCTAAATATTATTAATGACTTGGGGCGATCTCCCTGACATTTCGCTAACCGTTTTCTATGTCTCTTCCTGCCGCCCCACCCCCCACCCCCATTCCCTGTCGTCCAGTGACCTAAATGCAAATAAACCTATCGGATGTGCCTAAATGACTGGCAATATTTTTGTGAATGGAATACTCAGTGACTGGGAATGACGTCATTCAGGAGTTGGGAGTTTTGTGGTCAGTCGTGGATTGGTTTTATAGTGATAAAGGAGATGCTGATTGGCGAGTGAGTGTTCGTTGAACGCCTACACATTTTTGTCCTGCTGATATGTATAAAAGGGGGTCGTTGACCATTGAAGACCGCCACGACTCTGAAAATCACTCTGAGGAAACCTCCACTACGTTTCACTCTTCCCTAAGAAAGGCTGGCATTTGAAGGTAAGCCCTTCTCTACTATTGGTAGCTCTGCTCTTCACAGCAGCCCTACAACTCCAGCAGCAGAAATCCCGGCCATGCTTTCTTTAACGTCTTTACTGAGTCCAGGATGATTTACTTCCAGATCTGTTAGAGAGTGTTGCAGCTTGAGCTGCGAGTGTCCTGCATTCCTCAGTTTTACATTTCAAGGATAGGCTTCGTCTAGTTTTTGGAATAGATAGAATTAATCCTTTCTGGGTTTTTTAAAAAAAATAAGAATTAGCATTTTAGGATGTTAGGGAATAAGAGGAAATCTTCATCCTTGCAAATTTTAAACAAAATTTCTTTGCAAAGGAGAAAGCTTTTATTTTGCTGGAGATAACTCCTTAAAGATGCATTTAATATCGATGTGCGACTTATCTTGGTTTTTTTTAAAGCAAGGGTTATCTTAAAGGTTGTTCTAACCAAGGTAATATATATTAATTTAAAATAACTTTTAAAGCATCCTTCTATCTCCATTCCCCTCCAGTCCCGAGACAGTAGTATCTCATAGCATCCGGAACTTCCTTATAGACTTCTTTGCAAGAAAAAAAAGGCTACACGAGGAAGAATTTAAGATGAACCTCTGTGTGTGTATGTGTGTCAGGCGTATACAGAGGTTTTGGAACCAGGGATGCACTGTAAAACAGGTTGGAGACAGGGAAATTCAAGAGTGTAAGAAATTCATATTTATGGAGATGCTATATATTCAACATTTTTGAACATACGGAAATGCTTAAAACCAAAGGGGAAGAGGACAAAGAAATCATATGTGGAAAAATAGCTTATAATTCTGTGTGCACGATTATTCCTGCATTTTACAAAACCAATAATATATTTATTTTTCAGTATATAAATGACTCAAACTCCGATTTTACAGCATTGCCTTACCACGTTTTCAGAGGTCCACTTGTTTCAGCTGTTCTTTTTAATTTTTACTTCAAAACGAAACATTAAAAAAGAGGCCCCTCTCTTTTAAGCGTAAATACATCTCGCCACTTTGACTCGTTTTCTTTAAGAAAGGTTCTATTTTTGGTTCTCATCTCTTGGCACCGATGTTCTGAGTTGCTTCTGCCCTTGTTCGGATAGTCCATTTAGAACGCTGCCGAAGCCCCCAGAATTCCTAAATGGATATTAAAAGACCGTTAAATTCTCTGCAAATACTTCTTTTTACGCGCATGATTAACGGATAATTTATTACCCTCAGAGAATTCCCACTTTAGGCCAACCTGGTCCTGTGCATAACGTTTGCCCGGGAAGGATGCGTCGCTGTTACTTGGACTTACCACAGCCAGCCATATATTTTCTCCTTCAGAAGGGAATCCTATCTACGCCATTTGGAATGCTTGTCGATGGGATCGCAGCCTAAATAGACGGCCGGGGGGGGGGGGGGGGGCGGAATAGGCAGGGCCGCAGAGGCTCCTCTCCTTGCAGAGAGATAATGTGGCTCCTCTCCTTGCAGAGAGATAAGACCATGGCTGTGCTGAAGATCTCCTCGCTCCTCGCCGTTTACGCTTTGGTGGCCTGCCAGATGGAGAACGGCCAGGCAGTCCCGCTCAGGTAAGAGGAAGCCGACGGCGGACTTCCCTGCTGCTCTCGGGGGGGAGAGCCTGGAAGTTTCCTCCCGGCGGGGGCGGCGAAGCGAAGAAAAGTCCTCCGACGGGAAGGAGCTCGGTTAGGAGAGGGCCAAAAGAAGAAGGGTTTAGGGGCGCTCGGCAGGCGCGGATTTGGCTCCGTGGGGACCATTCGCCCGGATTACCAACCAGCTTTTTGGAGCACTTGGTGCACCCCGTTCCTCCTTTTCAATTTCAAAAACACCAACTCCATCGCCACTTGCCTCGCCTCCCCGGGGTGGCGAGACCCGAAAGTAGAAAGCGGCGTAGAAATTACGCAAGCGTACGAATGAGCAAGCGAGCAAGCCAAGCCAAGCCCAATCCGTTGGCCCGCCTTGTGATTTTCTTCCCCTGGCCAGCAAAGCGGTTCGCTCGCCCGTCGGAAGCCCCTCCAGATACATCGGGCAGCACCCACCCACCCCCAGCCTGCCTAACCCCTTGGTTTGGGAGAGAGGCGAGTCGCAATCCACGCCAACCCCGAGGGAGGAGGAGGAGGAGGAGGAGGGGTGGGGGAATGACCGGCGGGCGCTGGCTGGAAAACCCGCCTCTGATCCCACCCCAGGCTGCCTGCGGGGAGGAGAAGCGCTGCTTCCCCCCCCCCCCCCCGCAAAAAGCGGGGCTTTCAAGGGGGCGCTTGTCTTCACGCAGAGCGGGCTTCGAGCCGGTCACCGACCGAGGCGCCCTGGGGGACTACGAAGCTCGGAGGTTACTCAACGCCCTGGTGAAGGAATACATCCAGATGACCGCGGAAGACCAGGACCAGGGCAGCGAAGGCAGTAGGTAAGAAGCTTCCAAAACCCTCTTTCCCTCGTCTCCCTCCCGGACGCCAAGCTGGGAAGGGGGGGCACAGCGCCTCTCCTGGTGGGCATCGAAGCAGACGGGAGGATCCCCTCCCTCGAGATCCGACCGGGCGCCTTGCAACCACCTGGGGCGGCCGATCCGAGCGGAGGGCTTCGCTTGCCCGCTCGTTTTGCTCGCCCAATTGACTTAAGAATATCCATTTAGCCATTGACTATGGGTATACAACTTACGCATCTGTGTATACACACACACACACACACTTATGCAGCCACACATACACAGGAAAGACTTTGAACTGCAAAGAGGAGGAGGGTTTTTGATTTAAAAACAACAACAACATGGGAGAACAAGAAGGTAGGTCTTGGTTGCCTTCTCTTTCGTCCTCCATCCCTCTCGGCCCACTTTCTTAAGAACCGAACCCGCCGGACTCAGTCCTTCTCCCCTCGCCCTAGTGCCCGTGGGGTGGGGGTTGGGAGGAGAGAGAGGCGGCAGAGAGCGAGAAGGTCCTTTGACATTGGAGGAAGGAAAGAGATCCTTTGCACGTAGTAGCGCCCCCTTCCCTAACCAGCCCAGGCTTCCAGCTGCACCTGCGGTTCCCCACTGAACTCCCCTGGTGAAGCATGAGGAATGGTTGAGCCCCAGCGAC